TTAAATATACCGTGAGGTCTGAAGTATATGCGAGGAAATAGTCTCCCCAAATACTTGGATGATATGTGATAGAGCGGCAAGCATTCTCAATCCCCACATTTTTGGTGGAAATTGGACCAGCCGATGCACATATTTGGGTATTCATTCCATATTTAATTAGACTTTGGATAGGAAAAATCAGTCATTTCCAGTGCTTCTCACTTTCGATGGACTTGTTTTAATATATATATATATATATATATATGAAATTAATTCATGTGTATTGTTAGCATCTCACGATTCAACCGAGAGTGGGGATGATAATTATGTATAAAAGTAACAAAATATTGAATGATTTTTTGACCCCCAAAATTATAATTTTCTAAAAGTAGCATTAGGCCTGGTTTGACCCACATTCTTTAAAAAAAATGTATTTTTAAACAATAATTTGACATTATTTTAACCACATATTTTTCAATAAAATAATATTACAAACAATTTCAAAACTTTTCATTATTTTTTAACCATATATTTCCCATCAATATACTATTAAAAATGTATTCTTATAAAAATAATGTATCTCAAACAAGGGCAGAAATTAAGGCCCTATTCTCTTTATCGTTTTTAAGTCGTTTTCTGTTTTCGATTTTTGAAAATAATGAAAACGCATTCTTTTTTTTCTTTTTTTTTCCATTTTCAAAAACGAGTTTTCAAAAACAAAAAAAAAAAAATAACTTCTAAAGAAAACCCAAAAAGTCAAGGTTGACGTTTTGGGCTTTTTCTTCACAAAAATAGAAAAGAAATGAAAACGCGGAAAACAAGCGGCACACTTGCACCTTCACGTTTTCTTCAGACTCGTCCATCTCCCTCCTCTCTTCATTGCACACTTGCACCTTCTCTTCCTCCTCTCTTTTGCCGGCGCTAGTGTGGAGAGGCGACGAAGGATATGCCTCGATGCCGGCATCAGTGTGGGGTGTTGCAGCGTCGCCTACGTCGTACCCATTCATCGCAAGGCTATTGTCGGTGTGGGCTCGTCTCTATCTCCTCTCTCTTCGACGATGGCTGGGGTTCGGGGAGACGAAGGTCGTAGCAGCGCGCTCTTCAACGTCGGCTGTAGTTCGTCCTCTTTTCACTCTATGCAGTTGGGTTTTTTTTTCCCTTTTTTGATCTGATAGCAATGGCAGTTGATGGTAGTGGTAGTGTTGGTGTTGATTTCGGTTAATTTGTTAGATGGTGGTGGTGACGGTCGACGACGATGATGTGGTGGCTGAATTGGTTGAATTAATCTTCACTGTGATGATATGCTTGATGAATTGAATTGATGTGGTTCTTCTTTCTTCTATGTTTTCCGCGTACCCCCCCCCCTCTGTTGCCGATTTTCTTCCTATGTGGTGGCGACGGCAATGACAATTTTTGATGGTTCATGGTAGTAGTGGTGGTGTTGATTTTGGCGGTGGCGGTGGCGGTGGTTGATTTTGGTTGATGGGTGTTGGTGTTGGTGTTGATTTTGGCAGTGGTTGACAATGGTGACTGGTGGCAGCGTTGTGGTGGTATTGATTTTGGTCGGCTTTTGTGGTGGTGTTATGGTGGTGTTGTGTCAGTTTTTTCAACAAAATATTATAAAAAATTATTTTGAAAATTTCAAAGCAAACGTGTTTTTCATTTTTGTGTTTTGAGAAACAATTTTGCAAAATAACAAAAAGAACGTATTTTCAACAATTTCAAAACTGACTCTGAAAACACAAAACACAAAATGAATTCAAAACTCAAAACTACGAAATCAAAACACAAAGAGGACAAGGCCTAAGTTTCTTGCTTCGTTCCTGAAGTAGTTGTCTCTAAAATTTTTCCAATTGGTTTGCTCTTGGTTTACCATATGTGTATATCTAACAAAGTGTATGACAAGAAATTGCATACATCATTTTTTTTTTTGGCACTAAAATAGTAGTTAACAGGTAAACGATTACATTCAATTAACATCTCCAACATCACAATGTCTACTAAACCAAATTAAGTTTGGATATTAAAAAATAAAATATGTTTTTCAGCATCACTTCTTATGGCATAATTTATTCTCGTCATCTATTGATTCCACTGTTAACTTGAAGGTATTGAATGAGCGGGAACTAAACTGATTTTTTATAAAACAAAGCAATCCACAATTTTCTGAAATATTTAAAAAAAAAAAAAGTTCCGCCAACTTCCAGTGGGGGCACCCTTTGTCACTTCTTATAGAATTTCTTAGAAGCGTACAAGGTTTGTTGATCTGAAACGACACGAATATATGAGTTAGTAATGTTTTTACGCCTACAAACGTGAATGCAAAGGGAAAGAAAAATCGAGATTATAAAAAAATGACTTGTAAAAAGAAAGTGTCCAAAGCTTGTAGACATTCCACAAACATAAAGCTAGTGCCATTGAAAATGTCTATTGGAAAGAACCAATAAAATCAATTTGATCTGGTATTTAATATTTCCTCAATAATAATATCTTGTAGGTGAATCCATATTTTTAATGTACCGAATTCCAAAAGATTGTCTTCAATACTTGTCAAGGCGAATCTGTAATTGCGAAGGGCTGGTTTAGTGGGGGTGCCAAGCAAGGGCTGATCTAGACGACTTGGGTTAGGGGGTTAGAAATAAAAATTATAGATATCTTCTAATAAAAAAAGCTGGAAAAAAAAATTACAAAATCTAGAGGGTCAATTGACCCTGTGAAATCCCCCCCCCCCCCCCC